CGGGATGTAAAGGAAAGTCAAAGTATACCTGCTGCAAATGTAACATTCATTTGTGCCTGGATATACAGAAAAATTGTTTTTCTGATTATCACATTTAATACCATTTGTAATTCACTGCAATAAATTTACTACAAGTTTGAGTTTCTACCATTTTATTTCCTCTTATTCACAATGTCCTAGTATAGGGGCAACCCCTAACTCGTTTAAGGGTAAATAAAAATTTTAAAATTACATTTAAAAATCTTAAAAAAAAATAAACATAAAATATCATATTATATAACATAACAACATAAAATATTTCTTGTAATACGAAATAAAAAGTCGTGATCAAAAGGGTTAAGTGTAGTCTGTTTAACAGCTCATTATATTTCGCCAATTTACATTGTCATTGTAGGCTTAAAAATGAATTACAGCAAAACAAAAATACTGAGCCGAGACCAGACAAATATAACAATACAAAATCATAGTATAGAAAATGTGGAACATTATGTATATCTAGGTCATGTTATCAAACTAGGAAAACCAAATCAAGATGCTGAAATTAAAAGAAGAACACAACTGGCTTGGGGCGCTTTCGGCAAACTAGCATATATCTTCAAAAACACCTCCATTCCTATAAACTTAAAGAAAAAGGTGTATAACACATGCATACTACCTGTTTGTACCTACGGCTTGGAGACAGTAGCACTTACCAAAAAATTAGAAACAACGCAAAGAGCAATGGAACGAATCATGGTTGGAATATCACTAAGAGACAAGCTTAGAAACACCGAGATAAGACGTAGAACGAAGATTAGGGATATTGTGGAAGAAATTACAAAAATGAAATGGCGCTGGGCAGGTCACGTAGCCCGATATAATGACAACAGGTGGACACGGAGAATTCTAGAATGGAGACCAAGGACGACAACAAGAAGCATGGGAAGACCTCAAAAAAGATGGGTAGATGACATAAGAGCAGTGGCAGGCAAATAGTGGATTAGACTGGCGCAAGATAGAGAAAGATGGAAGCGATTGGGAGAGACCTACATTCAGGAGTGGATGGAAAATGGTTGACAAAGAAGAGATTGCCATTAGCAGATGAGAGCTACAGTCATTAAAACATGGTACAATTTAATATTCATTTGTTATTTTATATCTTACTTGATTGAATTTAACGGCAGTATGATTTTTATTATCATCAAGTACAATGTTTTGTGGATTCAATGTGAATTGCAGCTATATTCGACATTTAACATTTAGTTTAAGAAGATTGTAAAATTTACCTTTACATTGAAAATATAAGGACAAACATAATAAAAATTAAACGCAAAATCCTTTTGTAAAATTGCGGTTATTTTTTATTTATAAACATTTAGAATAACTTCTAAACAACTATTGCTCGAAAAAAAAACTTTTTTTATATTTGAAAAGCTGACATTTTTACACTAATTAAAAAATAAGTTGTTCTACAATCATTTGAAGCAAATTTAGATTTTTTTTAATTTACAGCTAGTTTGTTTATAACATTTTATAATTTTCGGCATTCGAAAGAAAAGGATTTAGCATTATAACGGAATCCTTAATGAATTGTCAAAAATATGGTCCAAATTAAAGGTATAAACAGATTACTGCGATTAATCGGTGCATTAACGACAACATCGCAGTGCGAAATTTTCGCGAGACGAATGGCAACACATTGGTGTGATGGTATCTCGCAGCAACAAAGTTAGTATTTTTTTTTGTGTTTTGGCTTGGACAATTGTCATTCAGCCAGTCTCAATCAAGATAAGTTTATTAATGTAGTGTGTGTGTGTGTGTGTGTGTGTGTGTGTGTGTGTGTGTGTGTGTGTGTGTGTGTGTGTGTGTGTTTGTGTATGTAGAGTAATTGTCTTGATACTAAGCAAAGTCGACGTCATTGTCTCTGCTAAGAGACGCTAATTGTATCCAAACGTCTGCGGTCCCTCCGGTGAGTACCGATCACACAAGGATAGAAATTATTTTCATTTATTAATTTTTTTAATAAACGAAAATTTCCACCCAGGTGAGATTCGAAGTCACGACCTGGAAAATATCGAACTTAGTAGTGAAGTTCGTTTCGGTTCGTAAATGCCCCTTTGTCCGCTTCTTGTCGATCGATGGTGATAGGGTTAATAAATGTTAAAGTTGTGGATTAAAAGTGATGATTTATTGATAGCAACTCGTAATTACACAATATGGTGTTTGTTCGGTAACTACTCAATATTAACTGTGTTCATTTGAACTCAAATCCCCAATTTATAATCTCACACATAATAGATACATAAGCACCTTAGGCCATCGCTTCGTTCATATCATACCACCTTACTTTTGCTTATAATACAATTTAATCTACGCCTTAATTGCGACACTTAGGAAGTTCAATTAGAAAATATTATTATTCGGCAATTTATTTAGTTGTAGGTAAATGAACTAATTATTAAATTATCATACGATATGGTTTTGCAATATATATAATGCTGACTTATACACGGTTAAACTATAAAAGATTAAGAAGTTAAGAATAATGTGAGATTACAAATTAAGGGGTTAATTTGTGATTGAACATATTGGCCACTATATAAAACAATCAGACGAAAATATTTAAAAACATATAAAATATAAATAATAATAATAATAATAAACATAACACTAATTCACTCGGTTTTTGAATTATTATCTCATCCGAGCAGTGCTACCTATAATTTGATTATTTAGAATTCATGTTTCAGCTAAAATATCTAACTCTCTATGGTTTTGCAATATATATAATGCAAACTTATACACGGTGAAACTATAAAAGATTAAGAAATTAAGAATAATGTGAGATTACAAATTAAGGGGTTAATTTGTGATTGAACACTACCTTTAGGTTTAAAGGCAGGCGCTCTTACCACTGAGCCACAGAGGGGGTGCAACGTTAGTAGGTACTGCTTATCTTTTGTTAAGGCTACGGTTATATTCCCGCAGTGCTGCCATCAAAACATTTAGAAATGTAATAGAATTATTTATAAAATGTACTAGGTTGTACGCAATGAATAAATTAATGTGAAATAGTAGGGGAAAAGGCTAGAAATTTGAAATAAAACAGATATATTATAATATATGCTCAATACAATTTCGATACCATTTATTTGCAAACTTTTTTTTTCACAATAAAATCTTAATTTTGAATATATTAAATTGTTAAATTTTTAATTATATAACCTAATAGGGGATGAAAACTTCAGTAATAAAAGTATTTTTTTCTTTATTACATGCAAATAAAATTTTCTAACTTTGAATTAGGAATACGTCTCTCTCGCCTGATCTTTTGGATAAATTAAATTTTCGTCTGACTTTTGTTTTGCAAGAGTGTCATTCTATCAGGGTACTTTCCAGTTGAAATTCCTCAATATCTCTGGACCGTTATCTTCAAACGCTGACACGAGGAGTTCATAAAACTGTTCATGTCTAGGTCCAATGTATGCCTTATCATCCCTTTAATCCCACCTAAACACTCTACCAGGTCTGCTTCATATCCCAGTTTGTTCTAAGAGGATTATGTTCAATTTTCCTGATTGGCTCATTGCCTGTTATTTTAAAACAGATGTCGATGATCTGAACTACACTCCTTGTCTAAAACATGCCATTTTTACAATTCTAGCCATGTTAGTTGCGGCCATTGTTGTTGATTGCCTCTTTTTTTGGGAAGTTACGAAAGTTGATTTGTTTTTTACGTTTAGTATGTCTAAGTGATGTTCCATAACAAACTGTAGTAATGCTCACCACTTTCATTAATTCTAGTAGTACCCTACTAGATCAGATAGGTCCTTAAGACTTCGGCAGATAGGTTATTTATAAGCTCTCCACGATAGACCTGTTATTTTGTCGTTGCAAACCCAGAGCTCTTATATCACAACTACATTGAACCTTCTCATGACAACAATAAGTTCTGCCGAAGCTGTCTTACTATCCTCGGAATTCGCTTATAGGAATCTGATTAAAGCCATTGAGGTCTCTGATTGTCTTCAATGATACCTTTCCAAGTTTATCATATACCTTGAAATGAGCATTCCTCAATGCTTTACACGAGACCTCGTCAATTGTATACACTAGGGTTTGCGCGTACTCTCCGATCTTTCGATTTTCAAATAACCAGTCTTCTGTCTTAAGGTCTTGATTTTGTCTCTTTAGACAGATCCTGATGACGGTGAGGATAAGTGTAGGCGAATTTAGAAGATTAACCAATGAAGAAATTAAAGAAGTCATCGAGGGTGAAGACATAATCAAGTTCGTAAAGACGCAAAGGCTCAGGTGGCTGGGACACACAGAAAGAGCTAACCCAGACTCTACGCTAAAGCGAATAACTGGATGGAGACCAACAACAAAGAGACCAAAGGGGAAACCCAAATCAAGATGAGATGAGATCAAGAGATCAAGACTTAGGAGACATAAAAAAGCTGAGAATTTACAATTGGAAGGAGCGCTGTAAGGACAGGAAAGAATGGAGGAAAATTGTAGACAGGTCCAAGTTACACACGCTGCTATAATAATAAAAAAAACAACAACGGACTGATTCTCCGCAATAAATGAATTAAAGAGCCCAAAAGGGCGGAAAACACTCCGCCGGGAGTGAATAAGCCATGATGATGATGATGTGTCTAAATTGGCTATATGAATGAGTATCACAAAGTAACAGATGATATGCGTAGATGAAATAGCAATAATGATATCCAAAAATTTGGTAAGCCTATGCCAGGACATAAGAGAGAGAGAGAAGGAGAGAGAAAGAGAGAGAGAGAGATTTTGATTTCCATACAATATTAATACCTGGATTAATCCGGTAATTTATGTATTCTACTCTCGGTAAGTCGCTATTGTGTTCTGTTACTTTCTCTATTTTAGGATTAGCAATTAACGGTAGGTACCGAAATCGGAACGAAACATCACCTGCTCCATAATTTTTTCCATATTATAATAATTCAAAACGGGACGAAGGAAAATAAAATAAAAAACATTTTTTAAAAAAATAAATTGACTTTTATTTATTTTTCAATTCACACCTTAATAATTTTTAATAGCTGAGAGTATACTGCATCTGAAATTAAAAAAAAATAATAATGACAAAAAGTAACCAAGATGTGTGCTTTTATGTCAATCGGTTAGAGCAATCGGTAAAAGGAGCAAAACGTTATGTAAAGGGAATGGCAAAGTGTAGTGCTTCTTAGGAAAAGCTGAACTGAGAAATATATTTTCTGAGTGTTATTATATATTTATGATTCTCTGGTAGCTCCAATTAAAAGTTATAGAAAGACATAATTGAGGGATGTAAAATCAAAGGCGACAATCTACACTTTTTCTTGTTTTGAGTTAGGGACGCCATCTCTTGCGTTGTTTATTATATGTTTATTACGATTACGATTAACTTTATACAAATCGCAGTGAAAAGTTCATGTTGGGATCAAAAGCGTTAATCTTTATAGCTGAGTACGTAGCAAACATGGCAATATCCGCTGCGGCCAATAAGAACCACGTAGCGCACCCACGTGATCAATACATGGTTAGGTTTGCCGTTACATCGTGCTATTATAATTTGTTTTAGTTTTGGGAGTCGTTACATTGCTTTTCTCCTTTTCTAAAACTATATTTGTGACTAAGAAATTAGTTTTATATACAAAAAAGTATTAATTTTTTATCATAGAAGTTAATGCGTCTCTTGTCACGCCAACAAAGGCAAGGAAGCGAATAAAGCAACCTGAAAAATGGAAAAGTAATGTTGCAAAACGTCTAAGGTGAGCAGTTTTTTGAATGTTATGATTTTATTTACAAGCCGTTGTTGAATTTTGACATTTTGTTCCGTTGCCAAAATCGCTGCCAAATCTACATCAAGCCGATGTTGCTTGAAGTAGATTTGGCAGCGATTACATATGAGAGGGATGCAGTTGATATAATGTTGTTTGTAGCACTCTTAAGGGCTACGGTTGAGGTAAAAACTATAGAAGTATTGTTTATATTTGTACTGCTCATGTAGACACAGATAATAGCCTCAAGTTGTACTTCTTCTTTAATTGGTTTTGCTATCAGAATTGTATTTAGAGCCATTAAGTTGGGTGGCCATGAAGAACCAGCAGACTGATGAAACCAGTCTCTGGTATGCACTTATATAATAATAATATAATAGTCTATAATATAATTTGTAATAATTTAGTAACGCAATGAAAGCACTTCGTACAAAACTTGTCCATAAATCACTTTTACACATTATATAATAGAAATTAGGCGCTAATTATGATAAGGTTAACTGGATTTTAATAGCGCTGCCTGGCTATCTGTGAAGAGGGAAATTAAAAAGGAGAAATATTATTTCCTTCTAGAAAATTTTGACCTCGGTCTTTTTTTTGTCTCTACTATCACAGAGTAATACAACCTTCGACGTTTTGATTCGTTTGTATAAATACACCTTTCTTCCGTTCTTCCCTACCTGGTATATTAATTTTGTTGAATTTATTATCAAAGCTATATCTTGTAGCAGTTGCATCGATGGATTGCTTTATTAAGATATCTGCTTTTAGCTGCTCGATTAGGTTTGTATACTCAGCAATATGCGCCTAGATTATATGTTGTATTATAATCTAGATCATAGGCATTCTAGCCTTAGCAAATTTATTGCTCCCGCTTGTGTGCTGTGTCTTTGTTTACCACTTCACTAACCCATAGGTTATTATTGAACCCTTGTGCGTAAGCATAGGGCATTTTATAGTCGAGCTTCCAATTCTTACCACAGATGCTTCTACATACTTAAGGACACAGTAGCTTTCTGTGTGATTTTTAGTATGTGAGTATTCCATAATCCAAATACTCCTCTAGGTACTTTGTTTCTTTGGCAAATAGAATTTTTGTTTCCTCCAGTACCGAGGTTCTAGGCCTTATAACGCTGTTTTTTTTTTGACTGTGCCAAAAATATTTATTTGTCATTACAAATAACACAATACTCCTTGTTATTAATCAAATGGTATCAGATATATCTCTGAATTTACATTGTAAAATATCAAACTTGGAAAATAATGAGACTATTGTACTCACATAAAAAAAATAAATATAATAAACTACGAAACTACCGATTAATACATTTATTTTAGCTATACGAGCACACGTATAGCTCAAGTGTATAAGATTAAGCTTTATAGAAAAAAATATGGAGTGCAATAAACCGGGTGTCTTGATATTTGTTGATTAAGAGAATGATCGTTTATTACGGTTACACGTTACAGCAAGGACTGTTTTTGGGGTTTTTCTAGATGACTTAGTATTTTTTCAATTTTATGTTATACTTATAACATATACTTACTTTATGTGGATAGAGTTGTGTATACAGCTGAAAATAAAAAAAATAGTTAGTAGAAGTTTTATTTGTAGTATACGTTGTAATATAACTTATATCATTCAATTTTATTTAAAACCCTCTATAAAAAGTATATAATTTAAAATCTCTGTGCAGATGAGTTAAGCCACTAAGTACCTGAGTAAAGACCCTTTAGATGGTGCAAAATTTAAAATGTCCTACATTTTATTTAAAATTATGTTATGTAGTTTTCATATTTCTCAGATAACCTACATGGCAACGTAATATTTCCAGTAGGGGTTGCTGCTGACCCTCAGACGACATCTGAATAGGTTTTAGGTGGTTTAAGTTCAGTCACCATGGCTGTAGATTAGATTGCTAAGGTAATAAAAATGTAAATGATATGTCCAAAGCTTTCTAGTGTAGTGGTTTTTGTAAATAATTTATTATCTTACAAAAATCTAACCTTACAGTATATAGTGTAATCACTATTTTCAAATTTAAAATTTTGTCATATTTTTTTTTAATAGAACGACCTCGGCCTTTATGTTAGTTTCCCTGTATTGTATTTTATAGCAAATATTACAGCCTTCCTTTTGGTTACAATTTTATGTAACAAGCGTATTTCGTTTTGTAGATTTTTTGAGGAGAACTATTCGCTCCGTGCGTGACTGATGCGACACCTACCGCCTTCATCTGACAATTTTGGAGTCCCAATTTTCAGGTTAAATATATGACATATGTTTGACATTGTTAAATACATGCGAAATTGACAATTATTAATAAATTAGTTTTTTAACTATATTTTTTTAGTTTATGTACAAAATAAAATGTAGTATTAAAAACTGAGTTTCTCAAATTCATCATAATATATCTTTTCAACTCCAAACGGAAAAAAAGCGAAAAATCTAGTACTGGCAAATCAAGTTTTTCACGCAAAAGAGCATATAAGTAAAAACAATAATAGTAAAAGTTATGATATAAAAGCTAAAGTCATCTGCAGTTAGCTTGAAGCCTTATGAAATATCATTCAAGGTAAATTATTTAAATTTTTTATATTTCAATTGCATAAAAATGAAATTATGTGATATTTAATTTTTCATATTAATAGCACGAATTCATCTTTTTTTCTCTAATTTATATGTAATCTTTGGGAACCTATAAAAACTACACTCACTGTTTCTGCTGTTATTAGCAGAATTAAATACGCAACATGTATTTGCACACATTTTTGATAAAACTTATGCGTAAAAATATTTTGTCCAATATTCCAATTTTGTCATATTTCGCCGCTACGCACGCTGGCATCGTTTCAATGTACCCCTACCATGCTCACGCACGGAGCGAATAGATTTTATGTTTTTTCATATTTTTGATTAATTTAAAGTTTTGCGTTCTTACACAGAAATATAATTAGTATATAATAAAAAATTAATAAACTCATAATCTAATTGTTTTGAAGCTATTCTTCTGGCATTTTAAATTAATTACTATTTAACTGGGAATAAGCCTCAATTAAAGGTTAAAGTACGTTTATTGACGTTTGAATTTCCACTTCGGAAATCGTTCTTAAAATACAAACATTAGTAAATAAACAAATTTTGTTTTTTTTTGTTATCAAAATGATAACAATTGTGGCTTATTCCCAGTTAAATAGTAATTAATTATGATCTAATTTTATAAACATCATCAAAATATTAACAATATGTGACTTCAAAGATTTCACTCTATTAAAATTCAGTATATGTTACAATAGTGGTAATTTTTTCGTTTCGAAGACAGTTTTTTTTAATTTTCTCTAAGTGCGAAATAGTAACTTACTAATGTTGTAGAAAAATAAAAAAAAAAAAAAATAAAAGAGCTTTTGATCGACTTACAATTTTTGCGACATTTATTGTAATTGTATATACATATACAATATACATCAATAGACCAAGCGACTTAGAGGTAGTTTGATCTAGTGATGCGTAACTAAAATATCACTTTTAGTGAAAGATTAGTATGCCACAAGCTATTTTTTCTTTTTGGGTATCATAATAAAAATCGCTGTTTTTAATATTTTATATCAACAAGAGAAATCATAAAAGTTTTAACCTCATTCATATAATTTGCAAAGTAAAGCAGGGCGGCGGCAAAACTTGCCGCATCTTAGCCGAAATTATGATCTAATACCGTTATTATGTTTTTTTATTTTATCTTTTAACTACTGACGTGGATGTTTCAGGACGTAGACTCTGACATGCGGTATGTCATACCGTTGCCTATTCTTCTTTGTTTTTAATATGAATTTATCTTATATCACCGTACTTGTTTTTTATATCAACTAAGGAATGATTCTTCACATTTCTGTAGCATAATATACTCCTACAAGTAAAATAAACTTTACTTTTTCAAGAATATTACGAATGCATGCATAATATTTAAAAAAAAGGTGGACGTTACTACAAAATCGTTTATAAACTAAATTACAAGAAAAATTGATTACTTGTGACTAACAAATGGTAAAATAATGTTAAAAGAAACAGTCTAAGGATTTAAATTTAATGAGAAACTAAAATACAAAATTCTGACAATAACCAAAAATTGCAATAAAATAACTAGTCATTTTGCGCGCAATTTTTCTTTGTACATTGTAAGCACACTGGTTTTCCACAAGAAAAGCACACATAAAAGGTCTTTCGCTTTAATGCACTTGGGCATAAGTAACACGTCTTCTTTTGCTCAAGCCTTTTTTCAAAATCTGCTTCTTCTTGGCATTTTTGTCCTAGTATTCGTTCAATACCATATAATAATTCTCTCGGGATTCTGGGATTTTCGACTCTTCTTTGTAGATGAGGTAAAACTAATTGTTTCGCCAACTCCTTTGTGTAGTTTAGCCTTTCCATATTATCCTCTTGTAGTGATTGGTACACAACATGCGAATTAACAGCAGCTATATCAATGATGCGTTAAAAAATAGTAAGTGGCCATCGGCGAGAACGACGTTTTACAGAATATTTGGCACACTTGGGATCTAAAGTATCGACACCTCCTTTCGTACGATTATAATAAGCTATAATTTCTGGTTTTCCAGTAATCTGATCCGTGCCTATTGAATGGTGCATCGAAGAAACAAATAAAACAGCCCTCGATTTTTTTGGCACATGGGAAATTAGAGATAAACTTTTCGTAAATCCGTAAGTAGTTGAATTTATATTTACACATACGTTAATTTCTTTACTTTTAACTGCTTTACTAATTCTATAGAACTAAACCAATTATCAGCTGTGATATTACGGTTAGTTCCATAAATAGGTTTAGCAAGCCGAAGAACAGATTGAGTTGGTTTATTCATCTTCTTTTCTTTCTCAGATAACGCAGTTCTGTTAGTGTCCTTGCCTCCATATATAGGCATTGTATAAGTAACTTGTTCGTGCAACAGTCAGGCACATTATTTTAATGCCATATTTCACAGGCTTATAAGGCATATACATTTTAAACCTACACCTTCCCTAAAGCCGACCAACATTTCATTAATACAAACACATGTGCCTACGGTATACAGTTTTTGACAATTTGATATGAATATATTAAATATGTTACTAATGGCTGCTATTGGATCTATCTTTTTCTTTCTTCTCTATCCAGAGGGTTATCAAAACGTAAACATTTTAGAAATATTGCAAATCTTTCTTTTGACGTAACACATTTGAATATATCTCTACCAGTGCCATCTGTAGCAAATATCGAATGTATTATATCCTCAGAAATAAGAACATTAAAAAAAATGATGAAGTTTCGTTTCTTACATCTCTGGACCGCACAGCTGGTACTTTTGTTACAAGATTGTGTAACGGAGTTCTTACATTTTTCGAGGGTGCTGTAGTAGACCACCTAAAATGATTTTTGCCATAAAAATATGACTTACCATTATCATTGAAATGATATTCGTCTTCAGAACTTTCCGACTGCTCACTCCGGTGTCGTGTGAACTTTCAATACATACTTCTTCGCTTGCATCGTCAACGTCACTATCACTAAAATATTCTAAATCACTAGTTACTTCGTCAGCCCATTTAGATAAAACAGCCTCAGATACATCATCTGAAAGCTTTACAGTTTTGATGCTAAATTTAGAACAACTGGATAAACTTGCTGCCATACTAACAGCAAAAGAAAACTTTGAAAAGAAGACTTGATACCGCAAGAAAACTTTATGTCAACGTAGCTCAAAGACTAGACGTGTACTAAAACTGCAGCAGTTGAGAGCAGGTACAATTAAACCCCACTTGAAGGTACACAGATGCTGTTCTAAGAATCTTTTATAAAACACGTTTTACAACAAAATATATTTTCGGCTCGGTATGGCATACCGCATGTCAGTGGTTTTCACTGCACCGCACGATTTTCTGAATATTATGGAAATAGTAAATATACATTTCTCATCTTGTATGCCAAAGTCTAAGTCTCCATAAAATCCGTCAGTGTCATCTTTTACGGTATTGTTAATGAAAAGGGAGCGATACAGAGGTTTTGCATCATTTGGTATTCTTTTTCTAAATGTACCTATCTTCTAGATATATTGGCGAACACATTGGCCCATCTTATTCTATTCACAGCAGCTCGAAATTGATCATTTGACGTTTACGCATGATATGGCCGAAGTAAACCAATTTTCTGTTTTTTATGTAGTTAATAATTTTTTGTCCTCTCTTAGCCTCTGGAGAATAGTTATGTTACTTGTGTGGTGTCTATACGCGACCCTCATCATATGTCGGCACCACCTCATTTCAAATGCCTCTAATCGTTTGATGGCATCTTTTGTAACGATCCACCTTTCTACTCCATAGAGAAGAACACAAATGACGTAACATCTAAGAATTCTGGTATTAAGTGCATTAAAGAATCGCAATAAAGTCGTTAAGCATATGCACAGAAAGTGGTTTACCTATGGGCCAAAGAGAAAAAATTAAGTAGTTACTTAGGGATTTCATTACAACGGGCTGTCCTTTTTGAAGTTTCTTGTGAAGATCTACTTCAATTTCACTAGTGTC